GAAGATGAATGTATAGCACCACCTCCGGACTACTCCAACTTGACATTTATAGTTTGACATACCAAAAGGTGTCTGTTACCTTAGGTTCTAGGAATAACCCTGTGAGGCCATACTTCTATTATTATTTACAGGTCAGGAACCCTCACTGCTGTGTTTTCTATTAAAAATCAACCAAGGGGGCAGCTAGGTAGCGTAGTGGATAGAGTTCTGGCCTTGGAGTTAGGAGGATCCAAGTTCAAATCCAGCTTCAGACAATTGTCACTAGCTGTGTGACCTTGGGCAAGTCACTCAACCCCTGATGCCTCACCAAAAAAAACAAACAAACAAAAAGAATCAATCAATAACACAATCAGCTATTAGCAAAGTTATTCACTGATAAGTCACACTAAAAATAATAGCTATAAATCATTCCCCCAAAAACCTGAGGTGCATGGTTCCATGAATACACATAGCATCTGTGGGAAGAGTAGGGATAAACTTAAGGTACAATGCTAGTAAGGCACACATATAGGGAGCGCACATATCAAGACAACTTACAAGTTCATCTGCAGGGAATGAGGTCCTTTCTCTTCCTGTGTAGTGCATTCAGTGGCCTAACTCTGACTTGCCAGCACTAGCTCTCTCTTGAGTTCATAGCCTGCCGACTTCCACTACAGCCAGGGGTTCTGCTTCTTGAAGCTGGCTCCTCTGTCAGACAACTGTCTCTCTATATCCACCTCTGTCTAGAGCATGTGTCTCTGCCCCCTTACCCGGACTTAAAATTCTCTGGAACTGACTGTTCAACTATTAGATGGAGTGGCTTCTTCTGGCTGAGTAAATCAACTGCTAGGTGCTAGGGCTTGTGAGAAGGCTGGGGCCAGAAAGAGAGAAATTCTCTCTCCTACCCTTCCAAACTGATGTCATTCCACATCTACTCCAGCATTGACTGACTTCTCTCAAACAGCTGAAATTCATCCAGGGTATAGTTATTTAAAGTCCCCAGAGACCTAGCTAATTTGTTTGCTCAGCCAATCACATTATTCCCTTCCTGAATCAGATAGAGAGGTGTTTGAACCTCATAAAGAGACCCCAAGGTGTTATACCTTATTAACAGATTAAAACCTTATCATCTATAACTACATTCTGCTACAACCAAATCAACTGAGCTGGGGGTAAGGAATCACATCCCAGCTCCTTTATAAATGAAATCAGGTGGTAACACATTCTTTCCTTAATCAAGACAAATAAAGTTGCACTGCTCCTCCCATATCCCATCCCCCATACACTCTTGACTGGTCTTAATCACATAATCCTTCTCAAATATAATTTCCTCATTCAGAAAATTATAAGGTTGAATCCAATGACCTCTAACGTACCTACTATGTGCCTCACTGCTAAACACAGAACAAAACAAAAAATTATATTCAATATTTTAACAAATCTGTCACCTCAGCAATCTGGGTATTCCATCCACCAGTACAAATCACCACCTACCCTTATTTTTATTTTTTTTGCTTCATTTTGTTTTGTTTTTGAGACTGGGTCTCCCAATTTTACCCAAGCTAGAAAGTAAAGTGGCCATTCACAGGAACAGCGACTTCAACTGTTCCATTTCTGACCAGTTCTAGGTCACTCCAGCCATCCCCCAGCCATCCCCCAGCCAGTCTGATGACTCCCCACTGCTGAGGGATCACCATTTTAAACTTAGTCCACAAACCTGATCACTTAGCCTACTGTAGCTCAGAGCTTCTCAGCTCATGACCCTCTAGCCTCAGCCTTCTTTGGAATAGGAATTATAGGGCTGCACCAGCACACCCAGCTCCACCTTCATGTTGTAGTGTGCATTTCTTATCTAGGTCCTCCAATCAAACTTCCATAGAAGAGCTAGTCAGTATGACTATGACCTCCCTGTGCATTTTATTTTGAGAGGACCGGTGTAGACCTTGAATTGTCACCAGCCCTCACTGAATAACCAGCTCACCTCATTTTGTAGGTATGCACACATACTATATTCTGCTTAGTTTAAGGCCTATGTCTTTCTATTGCCATTTGATCACCTCACAATTTTCATTTTTTCTGAAATCATGGTGTTGCAGGATTCACAGCTATATCACATCACCCAGAGAATGTTGAGGCTTAAAAAATGGGCTTTTGTATGTGAAGTTGGTCTCAGCCTGGACCAACTCAATGGGCTATAATAGATAATGTCTGACTTAATCAAGACAGTATGTTTCATAACAGGTGAGGTCAAAACTTCTGATGCTATGTTGAAACCAATGAAGTTAGATTCTGGCCTATTTAAAACTCATAAAGTCTTGCTGAGAGTTAACAATTCAATAAAACAAAAGGGTGACCATATTTACCACCAAGCAGAGTACGACGAAGAAGTCAAAATCATGAGCAAGGCTGAGGCAGGTCTGAAATATGATTAGGGCTGGGAAAAGATAAGGGGACAAGACTAGACCTAGGATTTCATTGATAAGGGGAACATCCAAATGGGGAAACCCTCTGCCCACACAGGTAACCAACCTCTCTGCACTTTGTGGTCTTAGAGACTTGTCTAAAGCACTGAAGGGTTTAATAACTTTCCCAAGGTCACATAGTCAATATGTTTTAGATCTATGATGTAACCCCAAGTCTTTCTGGCTCTCAAGCCAGCTCTCTACCCATTATGCTATATTGCTTCTAACAAGGGAAAGAGAAAAAAAGTAACAAATCAGATGGACAGAAGGAAGAAGTAAGGGAGGAAAGCAAGATTTGCCTCACTGCACAGGCAGGACTTAAGCATCCAGTGCCCATTTCTTAAAGTAGGGGCCAGTAAATGATTTAGAAATATAAATATTAGAGGCACCATACAGTCACAGTTCCATTAAAGCTTCCTCATTACAGCTACCTTCTACTGGGACATGAGATTTTTATAATATGTATACAGGAAACTGCCAGCTAGATGACTCTGTGGATTGAATATTGGGCCTGGAATCAGGTAGATGTGAGTTCAAATCTGGCCTCAGACACTTATTAGCTGTGTGACCTTGTGCAAGTCACTTAACCTCTGTTTGCCTAGGTGGCTCAGTGGATAGAGAGCTTAGCCTGGAGTCAGGAAAACTTGAGTTCAAAACTGGCTTCAGACACTTACTAGCTGTGTGACCCTGGGCAAGTCACTTAACCTCTATTAATCCACTGGATTAATAGCAAACCACTCCAGTATCTTTACCAAGAAAACCCCATGAACACTATAGTCCATTTGATCACAAAGAGTCATATATGACTGAACAAAAACACACAGGAAACTGAGAACATTGGTGCAAAGCAGAGAAGTAGACAAAGTACTCTGTGAAAATTTGGGAAGGTAGAGATCACTTTCAGTTGAGGGAAAGGGATGCCAGGGAAGGCAAAATGAAAGAGGGAACACCTAAGATGGGCCTTGAAGGATGGAAGGCATTTTGAAAGGCAGCTCTAAGGAGAGAGTGCATGCTCACTGACCTGTAGCAGTACACAGAGATTAGAAATGACATGTTAAATCTAGAGATTCCTTATCTCAGTGACGATAAGAAAATTCCTAATAATTAGAGCTATCCAAAAGTGAATTGTGATGCTCTATATGTCAGTAGAAGTATTCGAAGATTGGATGTTGTAAAGTGGATTCCTGTTTTGAGGAGTGGGTTAGACTAGATGATAATATCTTACATGTCTATAGCACTTCACAATTTTCAAAGAATTTTTCCTCTGTTATGAGATGGAGTATATAAGCATTATTATTTCCATTTTCCAGGTGAAGAAATAGGCTAGCAAATGACAAGCCAAGTCTAGAATTCAGGTTTTCTGATTCAGGCTGCTGTTCTTTCTACCATGCCACAGCTACTTCTCATGTTGATCTTTACAATTGTAAAGATATTTTGATTAGATGATTCTGGGGAGTTGGCCTCCTCTAGGAGTACAGGGAAAAAACAGATAAGCAATAGGTAAGAAGGATGGGCTATGCAGTCAGGGGTTTGATGTTCCAACCTGAATGGCAGACAAATAGTTACCTGGTCTACCTGAGGAGGCTCTGCTTTCTCTCAGATTTTCATTTCTTTCTGCCTTCCTTCTTTTTTTCACTTATTATTGTCTTCCTACTTGGAGCCAAGATCCAACCTAGGACTGAAACTGAAAAAGGTGGCCATCTGAAATTCAAACATGAAATTTGATGCTGCTCTGATGAACTGTGGACATCTCAACACCTTTGCTTAAAGAACCCTAAACTACGTCTATAGATAGTCTGAAGGTCAACAGGTTCTGAATATAGCATGTTCTTATGAGATACTAACTCCATGAGATGAATGATGGCTGTTTAGTGTGAAAAGAGAATATTTGGGGTGGAAGAGATAATGTTTGGCAGTTTTGAGTAGTTACAGGGTTGTCTGCACATCTGTATAACACATACCTGTATTATCTAGCTTACAGGGTTGTTTTGACCTTCAATTGATATAGTGTATATAAAGTGCCTTGAAAACCAAAAAGTGTTTTAAAAACGTCAATTATTATTACTATCATTTTTGCACAGGGGTTAAATCTAGGGTTCTACAAATATAATTATACAATCTGAAATGCTGTCTTCAAAATATTAAGTCTTAGTGCACAAAAACCTGAGGAATATATTTCTAATCAAACTGAAGCATTTGCTAGAGGATTTTACCAAAATTTTGTGGTTTTTTTGGTCATTTTTTGGTCATTTTCCCAAATGACTTTAATTTATTATCTGTAGTTACTACAAGCATCAAGAATCCAATAGAAATTTTACCATGTAGGAATTGAAAGTTTAATGTTTAGAATAACAACATCCCTTGGAACAACTAGTAGGTACAAAACAACAACAAAAAAGTGATTATAACCTTGGAGACCATTGTGTTCCCAAATAGAAAAGAACCTTAACTGATAAAACAGTAATTTATATACCTGATTCCAAGTGGCTCATTTTCAAAACTAATTAAGATTTCCACCAATATTAGATCTTTAATAATATTTCTGTCTTTTGTCAACAGATCAACAGTACTCATGGTCACCAACCCAGCACTTCAATGAAGAGAGATACTCTCCTGCTCCAAGGAATATGAAAGGATTATCCAGTAGTCGAAATCAACCACAGTTATGTTCCGGTCATACCTGTGGCTTAACACCCCCTGAAGATTGTGAACACACGCACGACCACCTTCACCATGGGCAGGAGCCAAGGCAATCGTACCTGCTTAGCCCTACAGAGAGTTGTCCCATGGATCACCATCGCTGCTCACCACGGAGCTCCATCCATTCTGAATGTATGATGATGCCCATGATGATGGGCGATCATATGTCCAGTAGCACTTTTCCCAGAATGCATTACAGCTCACATTATGATACAAGGGACGACTGTGCCATGTCTCACACTAGCACTAAAATCAATCGGATCCCTGCCAATCTTTTGGACCAGTTTGAGAAACAGCTTCCTCTACACAGGGATGGATTCCACACTTTACAGTATCAGAGGACTTCAACTGCTGCAGAACAACGGAGTGAAAGCCCAGGGAGAATACGACACCTTGTCCATTCAGTTCAGAAGCTTTTTACCAAGTCTCATTCTTTAGAAGGCTCTTCCAAAAGTAATGTCAATGGGACCAAGAGTGACAGTAGAGGGGATGATCATCATCATGGCCATCCTAAACATAGTAAAAGGAGCAAAAGCAAGGAGCGAAAGCCTGAAACTAAGCATAAATCTGGGATGAGTAGTTGGTGGAGCTCTGATGACAATTTGGACAGTGATAGCACTTATCGAACACCCAGTGTGGTGAATCGACACCATGTGGATCATATCTCCCACTGCTACCCTGAAGCTCTCCAGAGCCACTTTGGGGATCTCTCCCTAAAGACTTCAAAAAGTAATAATGACATGAAATGCTCTGCATGTGAAGGCTTAGCTATGACCCCTGATGGGAAATACATGAAAAGGAGTTCCTGGTCGACTCTCACAGTAAGCCAGGCAAAAGAAGCTTACCGAAAGAGTTCATTGAACTTAGATAAGCCTCTGGTCCATCAGGAAATTAAGCCAGCCTTGAGGCCATGTCATTACCTTCAGGTAAGTAGCTGTTGTGCCATTATTGTAATTTAGTATAATAACATTTATAGGAAAAGAGAGGTACACCTTAATTCTTCATTTGAACCAGATCCCTGAGCATGATCCCACTGCTTTAATGCCTCTGAGCCTAGGGAATATAAAAAGAAGCAAATTATTATCCCACATTAATGTTAGCTCCATTTGAAAGTTGAGTAGATTGGTGTAGTGTAAATTAACCTGTAATCTTAATGAGTTCATTTACTGTACCTGACAAAGTATTGTCTTTAAAACTTAATAACACTAATATTTCTAATTATAGGAAAAGACCGTCCATTGCTTTGGAATGTGGATTAAATTAATTTACCAAAGGACATGATAAACTAGAGGCATTGGGTTGTAAAGGACAGAATATTGGGAATTATCTTTTGTGTCCTTTTTCTGGCATTTCTGTCGCCTAATAATAACTATACTGAATATTCACTTCAAATATTCATTTCAACCCTTTCAAGAATCAATCCATTAATCAAAAATTCAGGGTCTACTATTTGCTAGCCACTGTGCCAAGAGGTAAGAATACAAATACAAAGAATGAATCAATCCCTACTCTCAAGAAACAATTCAAAGTGGGGAGACAAGTACATATATAAATATGTACAAATAAATATTTTAAAAGCACAAATAAATGCAAAACAGTTTAATACTGTGTGTTTTAGGAGGAAGGGCACCAGCAATTGTCAAGATTAAGAAAGGCTTCAGTTGGAAGCTCCCCCTGCCTCTATTGGATCCTCATTCAGTTACATAATAAAGTTGTTAAGAAACGCTGAAAGTCTAAATCTCTTTTGTCTTCTGATTTACAAGTCATATCTACTTGCATCTGGAGCAGCTGCTGAAATAAAAATAAGGGCAAATGAATGAATGAAAACATATTTGTTAAAATGCTTACTATCTGTTAAGCACTGTTCTAAGCTATGGAAGGACATATAGAAAAAACAAGATAGTCTCTGATCCCAAGGAGCTCATACTCTAATTAAAAAGAAAGCATATAAAAGAAAGTTCAGCTGAAGAGCATATGGAAAGGCTCAGAAGTCTCAAGGGTTCAGTGGCAGGTCTAACAGTCAGATCCAGGAGTCCTTAGGACTCATCAGTAGATTAGATGACAGTTCCCTGGAAGATCTGCAAGCTATAGAAGCAGAATATATGGTAGGCCTGATAGTCTTTCATTTTATTGAGAGCAATAGATTTATTGATTCCCATCTACAGTCAAGCAGACCAGATGGAATCTGGGAGGTGTCCAAGAATTTTAAGGTTTGCAGTGTTCTTAGTAGATATTATTCCATTTGATCCTCACAAAACCCTGTAAAGTAGATATTGTTCTTCCCATTTTACAGATAGGCAAATTAAGGCTGAGAGAAGTTATACAATTTACCAAGGTCACGCAGCTAGTAAGTGTTTGATGCAGATTCAAACTCAAGTCTTCCTGACTACAAGTCCAGAACTCTATTCACTATTCATGACAGAGAATAATAACAAATAGTAATAATAACAATAGTAATAAGTAATTCTCTGGCTCCTGGAACAATTTATGGAATGGTCAATGATATAGCTAAATGCAATCTGAGTCACCAGACAACCAATTAGTGGAACACTTAAACAGACATGAGCTTTACTCCTGAATCAGAGGATGTGCAAATCATCACGGTAACACCTGCTATGGAGGAATACCTTTCCAAAGCACAGCAGGTAGGTATTAAAAGAAAATGCTAAAAATAATACTAATAATAATAATAAAGGAATAATAACTAAATTGCTTTTTCAGAAAGATAAATAGATAGTTGGATAAGGTATTATCCTTTATAACCATGGTAGAGACTTAGGCTCCCAGTCCTATGTGATTTTGGATAATGCAATACTTGCTGATAGTCACATTTAAGTACATATATCAAAATATCATAAGGAACATGAAAAGCAGTCCACTTCTATTTTTTAAATCTCACAAGTCAAAATAAAACCAAACCCTATGAACCTTTTTGATCTTTGCTTTTCTGAGTGAAATCTCTCAAAGTAACTGTCATGAAAGTGCTCTAGGATTAGGTGACAGTAGTGACACAGGGCTGGTCTCAAGCTGCCCAGGCAGTTCTAAGCCTCCAAGAGCTCATTCTCTACTCTTCAGCTCTTGTGAGCTTTGGGACCTTGGTGTCAGCTTTGGGATCTTGGTGTCAGCTTTTGGCCTGGCTTAGAGTTAACAGTTTGGATATGTTAAATAGACATCAGTTGGCTGTGCAGGTGACTCATAATTTTTAGCAAAGGCTCAGAGTGATGCTAATGGAACTTTAGACTATACCACAATTCTGATCCAAATGTCCTGAGTTAGAAGGCTCTGGGGCTGACAGTTGGTTCACTCACTCTGATTAAAAGTCTCGGGAAAAATTATGATCCATCCTTTCCCCTTATCTTGTGTCAGTCAGCTTAATGTACTGGGAAATACACTAAGCAGTGAAGTTAGGAGGCCTGTGTTCAAACCCCACACTAATACTTATTAGCTTACTATGAGTCCTTAGATAAACATCTTAACCTATATTACAATACTATATTTTTTAAAATTTTTATTGTTTATTTTTAATAAACAATTTTCTTTTGATTTCCAAATTTTCTTGCTCCCTCCCATACCCACTGAGAAGGCAAGCAATATATCAACTATACAAATAAAATCATGCAAAAAAATTGCATATTAGCTATATCAAAAATAAAAGCAAAAAAAGTGGGAAAGTTATACCTCAATTTGCACTCAGAATTCATCAGTTTTCTCTCTGAAGATGGATAGCATTTTTTCATCATGAGTCCTTTGGAATTGTCTTAGATCATCATATTGATCAGAGTAGCCAAGCTTTTCACAGTTGATCATCCTTACACAATGTTGTTACTGTACACAATGACCTCCCAGTTCTTCTCACTTCACTTTGCATCAGTTCATATAGCTCTTGCCATGTTTTTTCTGAGACCATCCCTTCATGATTTTTTATATCACAGTAGTCCTCCCTCACCATCATATACCACAATTTGGTCAGCTATTCCTCAACTGATGAGAATCTTCCTGATTTCCAATTCTTTGCCACTACAAAAAGAGCTGATAGAAATATTTTTGTACACTTTTTCCTTTTTCTTTGATATCTTTGGAATACAAACCTAGTAGTGGTATTTCTGGGTCAAAAAGGCATGCACAGTTTTATAGCCTTTTGAGCATAGTTCCAAGAATGGTTAAGGTCTCCAGAATGGTTGAACCAGTTCATTACTCTACCTACAATTCATTAGCATACCTATTTTCCATCATCCCTTCCAGAATTTGTCATTTCTGATAGGTGTGAGGTGGTACCTCAGAGTTCTTTGAATTTGCCTTTTTCTAATCAATAGTGATTTAGAGCATTTTTCATATGACTATAGATACTCTTTATTTCTTCTTCTGAAAAAGTCCTGTTCCTATCCTTTGACCATTTATCCATTGGAGAGTGGTTCTTATTTTTATAAATCTGACTCAGTTCTCCTTATATTTCAGAAATAAGGTCTTTATCAGAGAAACTTTCTATAAAAAAATTTGATATTACTTCATTGACTATAGTACCTTTTAGCAAAATGTAGTTTCCTTGATTATCTCTTTTAACTAGGTCCATTTTTGCTTTTGCTTTGCCTGAGATCATCTTTGCTACCCCTTCCTTTTTTAACTTCAGCTGAAACATATTAGATTCTACTACAGCCCCTTGTTTTAATCCTGTGTGTATCTTTCTGTTTCAAGTGTGTCTCTTATAAACAACATATTGTTGAATCTGGTTTCTAGTCCATTCTGCTTTCTGCTTTCATTTTATGGGTGAGCTGATCCCATTCACACTCATAGTTATAATTATTAGGTATTTCCCTCTATCCCATTTTCATCTGTTTATTCTTTTATCTTTCATTTTATCCCCTCCACTGTAAATGCTCTTCCTTATGCACCTCTTTTACATTAGAAAATTCCCCCCATTCTACTACTTCTCCTTTCTCCCAGTGCATGCCTCTTTCCCACCCCTTCATTTTTTTGGAGATTATTACAACATAATTGATTCATCCCATGCTCTCTGTCTATGTAGACTCCTTTTAACTGTCTTAATAATGATAAAGTTCTTAAGAGTTACATGAATCATCTTCCCATAGAGAAATGTAAACAGTTTGACCTTATTGAGCCCCTTTTGATTTCTCTTTCATGTTGACCTTTTTATGCTTCTCTTGGGTCTTCTTTTTGAATGTCAGATTTTCTATTCAGCTCTGGTCTTTTCATCAGGAACATTTGAAAGTCCTCCATTTCATAAAATTGCCATCCCCCTCCCCAAAGGATTATGCTCAGTTTTGCTGGGTATGTTATTCTTGATTGTAATCCTAGCTTCTTTGCCCTCTGGAATATCATATTCCAAGACCTCTGCTCCTTTAATGTTGTTAGTGTTCAATGGTTTCAGTAGTGTCCAACTCTTCTTTACTCTTTGTGGGATTTTCTTGGCGAAGATACTGGAGTGGTTTACCATTTCCTTCTCCAGCACATTTTATAGATGAGGAAAGTGAGGCAAACAAGGTTAAGTGATTTGCCCAGGGTCACACAGCTAGTAAGTGTCTGGGGCTGGATTTGAACTCAGGTCTTCCTGACTGCAGACCTGGTGCTCTTTGCTCTGTGCCTCCTTTAACATCTGTGATCCTGGCTGTGGCTCCATGATATTTGAATTGTTTCTTTATGACTACTTGCAATATTTTCTCCTTGACCTCAGAGCTCTGGAATTTGGCTATAATATCATTCTGAGAGTTTTCATTTTGTGGATGATTTCAATTTTTATTTTACCCTGTGGATAAGATTTAGAGCAGCTTTCTTTTATAATTTCTTGAAATGTGATGTCTAGGCTCATTTTTTTTATCATGACCTTCCAGTAGTCCAATAATTCATAAATTATCTCTCCTCAGTCTATTTTCCAGGTCAGTTATATTTTTATGAGATATTTCTCATTTTC